TTAAAAATACATTGTATTACAATAAAAATCAATGTATTGTATAATCACCCTCAGCTTCAATTAGGGCTTCTACATGACCCTTCATACTTCTAACTAAATTTTTTATATATTCTTTAGATAAGCTATTCTATTTCTTTATTATTTCACCCTTCAAACAACTAAGGGTTCTAATTTTTTTTTGCCAGATTCATTTTTATTAACCCCCAGACGTTTTCAATCAGGTTTTGGTCAGGTGACATTGATGGCCAGAAGAGAACCTGGATATCATTTTTTTCATTTCAAGCTTTTACAATTTTCAAATAATACTTTAGATCATTGTACTTCTGCAAGATCTATCTATTGCATCATTTGTTAAAAAGGTCCCTAATAGAAAGCAGAAGGCCCATTTCATATAGGGTAGTTATATATTGCATATTAAGATTATATATAAAGCAAACCAATCTGCTAAAGCCTAAAGAAGAAAAATAGCTCTATATATAAACCTTTGTTAGATGCTTGATAGAACGAGTTAATTTTCTTCTTCTGGGAATTACCACACCTTTTTTAGTTATTGATTCAGGCAGAAGGTACTTTTGTCAGTAAACATCATGGAATTCTAGTCGAAATCCTTATGCTTCTTCGCCTACAAAAAACATTTTTTTGATACTTCTTCTCAAGCAAAGGCTTTGAGAGCTTTCTGTAATAACATCCTCTACCTTTACAAAGGTGCTGTTAAATAGTATGCACGTGAATATCAACATTCTGTTTCATCAGTTCATGACAGATTTCTGGGGCTATAATATCTTTGTTTTCTTTTCTCAGCTCCAAAATCTGTTTGTCTTGTCTTTGGGTAATGACTCTTTTATGATCTGACCTTGGTTTGTCACTTAGGTCTTGGTTACATGCTACCTTTTTACCCAATAGCACACAGAACTTTTATCACAGTAAACTTGCTTTGCTATTTCACAGATTGAAAGCTTCAGGCCTTTCAGATAGATACTTAAAAAAATGATTTTATATCATTTATGTAAAACAAGAAGCATTTTTTTGGCTGAAATTTTGTGCATGATTGAAGCAGATATTTTTACTATCAATTATACCCAAAGAATGTTAGTACAATTTATATATGCAATGTACTATATGTGAATGAAGTTTTATATGTCTGCATGTGATCTAGCGAAGCTAGAGGTGTGGAGAAACTTTTGTTGGGCACTAAATATGATCAGCATTTAATCTATTTGTTCAAGAAGATCTTTTAGATGAGGATATGATCAATGTTATTAAAAATTTAAATTATATAAAGGTCAATATGGAAGTATACATGGCTGATAGAAAAGATTGCTTACAACAATTGGATCTTAGATTGCTTCTTAAATTGGACTAGGCATGTTATTAAAGCACAATAATATATTAGGCAATGCTGCTAAATTTGTATAATATAATATATATATAATAATTAAAAAAAAAGGTACAATAAAATTGCTGTTTATAGTTAAACTAGCCATGTTATTATAATACTATAGCACACTCATTAGTCAAGATCCTAACAAGTTTGCCTGCATTAGTTTAGTGTTAGCTAAATTCTAATTAATTTTGCCAAGAATTTGGTTGTCAGGATGGTTTGTCAGAATGGTTTGTCAGAATTTTGACCCAAACAATTATATACATATGCAGTTATTAAAATACTTGCATAATTTTTAACAATTACTGAAATTATTAAATATTATTAACTATTATTAACTAATTAATAATTGGTTTATTATTAACAATTTGGTAGTTCTATCACTAGTTACACCATAGTCTCGTAAATTACAATTTTTTTTCATAATGATAATATAAATAATACTGTATAATACAACCTAAATACCATTTTATCACATAATTATTGCAGTTTTGGAATTCAAATAACAAATGTCATAGCCCCCAATAACTACAGATATATTACTTTTTTTGAATTAAATCAGATTTTTAATAATTTTAGATACAACACAATTAAAAATATTAAAGTGTACAAATCCAGAATTGAATTATGAAGGTTCATGTAGAAGCCCTAATTGAAGCTGAGGGTGATTATACAATACATTGATTTTTATTGTAATACAATGTATTTTTAA